AAGAAAGAGAGGAAGATTTAAACAAGTGGAAGAATATACCATGCTCATGAATTGGAAGAATTAATATGTTCATACTACCCAAAGAAATTTATAAATTCAATGCAATTCTTATTAAAATACCAACAGCATATTTCACAGACCTAGAACAAACATTTTGAAAATTTATATGGAACCAAAAAAGACCCAAATAGCTGCAGCCATCTTGAGAAAAAAGAACAGAGTGGGAGGGATCATGTTGCTGGACATTAAACTGAACTACAAAGCCATTGTAATCAAAATTGCCTGGTACAACAGGCATATAGATCAGTGGAACAGAACAGAGTCCCCAGAAATAGAAATAGAACCACGCCATTATGGTCAGTTAATATTTGACAAAGGAGGCAAGAGNAGTCTCTTCAGTAAGTGGTGCTGGGAAAACTGGACAGCTACATGCAAAAAAAAAAATGAAACTAGACCACCAACTTTCACCATGCACAAAAATAATCTCAAAATGGATAAAAGACTTAAACATAAGTCATGAAACCATAAAAATCCTGGAAGAAAACTTAGGCAGTAAAGTCACAGATATGCCACGTAATGGAATTTTCACTGATACATCTCCTAGGGCAAGAGAAACAAANTCTCCAAAGAGGACATATGGATGGCCAAGAGACACATGAGAAAATGCTCAAAGTCGCTAATCATCAGAAATGCAAATTAAAACCACAATGAGGTATCACTTCACACCTGTCAGAATGGCTCCATCAACAAATCAACAAATGGCATGTGCTGGCGAGGGTGTGGAGAAAGGGGGAACCTAGTACACTGCTGGTGGGAATGCAGACTGGTGCAGCCACTATGGAAAACAATATGGAGTTTCCTCAAAAAATTAAAAATGGAGCTGCCTTTTCACCCAGTGATTCCACTCCTAGGAATGTACCCTAAGAATCCTGAAACATTCATCAGAAAGAATATATGCCCCCCGATGTTCATAGCAGCACAGTTTACAATAGCTAAGATCTGGAAACAGCCCAAGTGCCCATCACTAGATGAGTGGATTAAAAAGCTGTGGGACATTTACACCGTGGAATACTATGCAGCTGTAAAGAAGAAGAATCCCGTACCCTTTGGGACAGTATGGATGGACCTGGAGAAAATTATGCTAAGTGAAGTAAGCCAGGAAGAGAAAGACGAACATCACATGATCTCGCTTATATGTGGAATCTAAAGAACTTAATAAACTGATGAACAGAATAAATTCAATGACATGGAAGCATAGATCCTACTGACTAATGTCAGAGGGAGGAAGGAGGGCGAGTGGGTGGAGGGGGAGAGAGTAACCAAAGAATTTATATGCATATATGCACAACCCAAGGACACAGACAATGGTGTGGAGAGGGACTGGGGAGGAGGGTGGGATGGGGTGGAATGGGTGATTGGGTAGATAAAGGGACATTTGTAATATTTTAAATTAAAATTTTAAAAAAATAAAACATAAAAAAAAGAAAAACATGTTATTTGAAACAGAAGTAAAATCAACCCTTCTTATTAAATGGCAAAGAATGTGGCTGAATTGTGTTTGTATGATGGTGTTTTAAAAAAAGTAGATCTTGTGAGCAATGGAATTGTATATTCAGCTGAGGAAATATCTAAGCAAAGTGTTGAAAAAGCCAACTGGCTCTTCCTGACTGTTTCTAATAAAATTTGAGGAGAGAAGTGACTTAATGATGGAATTATTAAGCAAAAAAAAGAACCAATAAATGATCCTGGAAACACTGGATATTTACCTGACGAAGAATAAAATTGGCCACTTGTCTCACCCCATATATAAAAAATCAACTCAAAGTAGATTAAAGACTTAACTGTAAGTCCTGAAATCATGAAAACACTGGAACAGAACAGGGAAAATAATTCTGGACATTGATCTTAGCAATGATTATTTACATATAACACCAAAAGCATATTCAACAAAAATAAAAAGAGACAAGAGAGATTACATCAACCCAAATGCTTCTGCACAGCAAAGTAACAATCAGCAGAGTAAAAAGGAAACCTAAAGAATGTGAGCAAATCTTTTTAAACCATATATTTGATAGGTGGTTGATATCATTCCTCATTGGGAAACAAAAGAACTCAATAACATAAAACCAAACAATCTGATAAACAGAAGAAGGTAACAGATCTAAACAGACATTTCTCCAAAGAAAACATAAAAATGGTTACCAAAAAGACTACATTAGAAGGAGGGAAGATAGAGGCACAGTCTGATCAAGAAACACAGGAAAGTGCATGTCTATCTGATTTGGTCCAAGAAACAAAGAGCCTTCTGGACCTGGATATTGGTCTAACTCTACTCATTACTGAATGTAGCTCCCATCTCCACCTGACCGTAAAGGCTGGGCAGACCACCTGGAAGCTGTGTAGGCCAGCAGTGGTTGAGGAGAGAATATAGCAGGCAGAGATAATCATTCACAGAGCAAAGCCAGTGTCACTACAACCAGGCAACTGGAGGAGCATGTTGGCTTGAGCCAAGACCACAAACAAATAGCTTTTCCAGGAATAAAGTCTCTATGTAAGGATTCCAGACAAAGAAGTTAATTCATTGACAACCCAGTAGAGTATAGGTCCCAACCCTACTCTTCAGGTGGCCTGATCAAAACACTTGTAAAGTGCATAGCTCAGCAATGCACTAGCAGAGTCCCACAGGCAGAGGGATAACCATTGGCAGACCATAGTCTGTGACTAAATTTGGCCAAGAAACAGGGGGCACTGTCAGGTGGAGTGAAGATTACAAACAAAGAGACTGTGGGGCCTTGAAGTCTGTTCTACACCTCTAATCAAGCAGGGTTATTAAATCATAGTCCTGCTCATTACTGAATACAATATTTGACCACCCTACAAGGGAACCCGAACAGGGCACAGGAGAAGATGCATAGCTCATCGAAAGTCCTGCTAACCATGGGATTTGAATGGAAAGTAAAAGTCATGGCATTCCCCATTTTTAGAGCAAAATATGGCCAGGGAATTCACTGCACAGTCTTGCCTGATTTGAATCTCTAAACAATGAGCCAATTAAGCCATGAGGACTTTTCTGCTGCCTTGCCCTATTCACTGCCAAGAATAGTACCCTGATCTGACTTATTAGTGAACCTGACCAGAGAAACCAGACAACCACAATCCTATCTGATAGCCTCTCTTGGGCAGGGAACCAAACCAGCTGTCCAATCTAACTGTTTGCAGCTAGCAACCACCCCACAAACACAAAGCTCTGACAGTGGCCTCATCCCAAAATAAACACTGATAGCAGCTACCCCAGGATGTTACTAGTAGACATGTCCAGAAACTAAATCTGAGCTGACTTACAAAGCAAACCCATAAAATCTGAAAGAAGGTTCTGCATTTTCAAATGCACAAATATCAAAGTAAAGAATAAAGGATCATGAACAATCGGGTTAACATGACACCACCAAAGGAAACTAATAAAGATCCAAAAAGTGACCCTAAAAAAGTCAAGATCTATGAATTGTCAGACAAAGAATTCAGAATAATTGCTTAAAGTTTACCGAACTACAAGAAATCACATAAGATAATTGACAAAATAGATTTCAAAATGAAAGCCATGACAAGGGACAATAAAAGTCACCACATAATACTAAACGGATCGATCCAACAAGAGGATACAACCCTAGTAAACATATATGCACCTAACATAGAAGCGCCTAAATATATTAAAAATACTGGTGGACTTTAAGGGAGAGATCGACATAAATACAGTCATAGTAGGGACTTTACACCCCACTGACTTCACTGGATAGGTCTTCCAGACAAAAAATCAACAAGGAAACAGTGACCCTAAATGACACACTAGATCAGATGAATTTAATTGACATTTACAGAACATTTCGCCCCAAAGCTGCAGAATATACATTCTGATCAAGTGCACATGGGACATTATCAAAGATATACCACAGGGAGGACACAAAACAAGTCTCAACAAGTTCAAGAAGACTGAAATCACATCAAACATCTTCTTGGGTCACAATGGCATGAAATTAGAAATCAACTACAATGAAAACACTAAAACACATTCAAACTCATGGAGGATAAATAGCATGTTATTAAACAATGAATGGGTTATCAATGAGATCAAGAAATAAATCAAAAACTTCCTGGAAACAAATGAAAATGAACACACAACAACCCAAAATCTACGGAACACAGTGAAAATAGTCCTGAGAGGGAACTTCATAGCACTACAGGCCTACATCATAAAACAAGAAAAACTTTTAATAAAATATCTAATCCTACAACTTAAGGATTAGAAAGAGAACAACAACAAAAACCCAGAGTACAAGGTAGGAAACAATAAAGATCAGAGCCAAAATAAATGACATAGAGACTAAAAAAACAATAGAAAAGATCAATGAAACCAAGAGCTGGTTCTTTGAAAAGATAAATAAGATTAATGAGCCTTTAGTCAGACTCATCAAGAAACAAAGTGAAAGGACCCAAATAAATAAAATCAGAAACAAAAGAGGTTAAGTAACAACTGACAGCACAGAAATACTCAGGATTGTAAGAAAGTATTATGAACAAACTATATGACCTCAATCAAGACAATGTGGATGAAATGGACAAATTCCTAGAAAAATATAATATACCAAAGATGAGTTGACAAGAATTAGAGAACCTGTATGGGCCTATAACTGTTGATGAAATTGAAGCAGAAATTTAAAAAACTCCCACCAAACAAAAGCCCTGGCTTTGATGGCTTCACAGGAGAGTTTAACCAAGCATTCAAAGAACTAGCACCTATCCTCAAACTATTCCAAAAATTCAAAGTGAAAGGAGCACTTCTAAGCTGTTTTGATGAGGCCAGCATTATCCTAACTCCAAAACCAGATTAAGATACTACAAAGAAAGGAAATTAGAAGCTAATATCCAAGATGAACATAGATGCTAAAATCATCAAAAAAAATTACCAGATTGGATTCAGCAACATATTAAAAAGATCATACATCATGATCAAGTGGGATTTATTCAAGAGAAGCATGGCTGGTACAATATTCACAAATTAATAAATGTGATACATCACATAAACAAATTAAAAGACAAAAATCACATGATCATATCAATAGATACAGAAAAACCATTCAACAAAATCCAACACCCATTTTTTATAAAATCTCTCAGCAAAGTGGGAATAGAGGGATCATACTTCAACATAATAAAGGCCATATAAGACAAACCTACAGCCAACATCATACTCATTAGGCAAAAACTAAAACCATTTCCCCTAAGGTCAAAAAAAAAAAACAGGGGTGTCTACTTTCACCACTCTTATTCAATATAGTATGGGAATTGCTAGCCAAAGCTATCAGACAAGAAAAAAATAAAAATAAAAGGCATCCAAATTGGAAAGGAGGAAGCAAAACTGTATTATTTGCAGATCACATGATATTGTACATAGAAAATCCTAAAGACTCCACCAAAAAACTACTAGATTTAATAAATGAATTTGCCAATGTAACAGGATACAAAATTAACACCCAGAAATTGATTGCATTTATATACCAATACTGAACTCTCAGAAAGAGAAACTAAAAAGCAATCCCATTTACCATTCCAACCAAAAAATTAAAATACTTAGGAATGAACTTAACCAAGGAGGTAAAAGACTGGTACTTGGAAAACTACAGGACTTTGTAAAAAGAGAGAGAGGAAGGTATAAACAAGTGGAAGCATATACCATGTTCATGGACTGGAAGAATTACCATTCTTAAAATGTCCATACTGCCTAAAGCAATATATAGGTTAAATGCTATCACTATTAAAAAACCAATGGTGTATTTCACAGATCTAGAACAAATACTCCAAAATTTTATATGAAACCAAAAAAGACCCTGAAAAGCCACAGAAATCTTGAAAAGAACAGCAAAGTTGAAGGGATCACAATACCAGATATCAAGCTATATTACAAAGCCACTGTAATCAAATCATCCTGGTACTGGCACAAGAAAAGGGATATAAATCAGTGGAACAGACCAGAGGATGCATAAAAAGACTCAAACCATTACACTCAATATTTGACCCTACAGGAGGCAAGAACATAAAATGGAGTAAAGACAGTTTCTTCAATAAATGGTGTTGGGAAAATTGGACAGGTACATACGAAAAAATGAAATTAGGCCACCAATCTACAGCATACACAAGAATAAACTCAAAATGGATAAAAGACTTAAGTAAAAGTCATGAAACCATAAAATCCTAGAAGAAAATGTAGGCAGCAAAATCTCAGCTATCTCTCATAGCAATATGCTTGCAGATACATCTCCTAGGGCAAGGGAAACACAGGAGAAAATAAACAAATGTGACTGCATCAAAATAAGTACCTTCTGCACGGCAAAAGAAACCATCAACAAAAGGAAAAGGGAGCCCACTTTATGAGAGAACATATTTGCCAGTGATACATCTGATAAGGGGTTAATATCCAAAATAAGAATATATATTATGGATATTAACAAAAGGAAAAGAAACAATCCAATTAAAAATGGGCAAAAGACCTAAATAGACACTTGTCCAAAGTGGACATACAGATGGCCAAAAGACATAAGAAAAAATTCTCATCAGAGAGATGCAAATTAAAACAACGATGAGATATCACCTCACACCTGTCAGGATGGCTACCATCAAGAACTCAACAAATGACATGTGCTGGCGAGGGTACGGAGAAAGGGGAACTTAGTACACTGCTGATGGGAATGCAGACTGGTGCAGCCATTGTGGAAAACAGTGTGGAGGTTCCTCAAAAAATTAAATATGGGACTACAATTTGACCCAGTGACCTAACTTCTAAGAATATATCCTAAGAAACCCAAAACACCAATCAGAAAGAACATATGCACCCCTATGTTCATAGCAGCACAATTTACAATAGTTAAGATCTGGAAACAACCCAAGTGCCCATCATTAGATGAGTGGACAAAAAAGCTGTGGCACTTTTACACCATGGAATACTATGCAGCTGTAAAGACGAAGGATCTCTTACCCTTTGAGACAGCCTGGTGGGACCTGGGGAGTATTATGCTAAGCAAAATAAGCCAGTCAGAGAAAGACAAGTATCATGTGATCTTACTCATACGTGGAATTTAATGAGCAAAATATACCAATGAACAAAATACATCCAGAAACAAAGAAGCATGGAACAGCTCGCTTTGAGGGACACAGGATAGCAAAGGCCCACAGAGCTGCCACCACCCTTCGGGCCATCTTTGCCAACATCGTGCTCCAGTTCCTGCTGGGATTTACTTTTAGCAACCTGGTTGGAATGTATCTGACTCAGAATTATGACACACCAAACCTGGCTAAAAAAGTTGAAGGAATCAAAAAGAATGTGGATGCCAAGAAGAAACCCACTAGTTCATGAGGCCAACTCCAGCACTGCCTTCAGGAAATCCTGACTCTCCTCTTCTCCAGGGCCTCCTTCACATGGGAACCAAAGCTTCTGTCTTATCTCCAGTCTCAGCCTTTGCCAGACTTTGCATTCCTTCAAGCACAAACGGAGCCACAAGTTAAGGACTGTCCTTACTTTTCCAACATCCTCGCCTCCTCCCTTCCTCCTTCCAGCTGCTTGGGAAGTCCTAAGACTGGAATTATGGTGCTAGATTAGTAAATATGACCTTTAATTAGTAGTCTCTCCCTTATTCTTTGGGATTTCTACTGCCTTTTCCAAAAGAAAAATCAATGAGCTCTGTATAGCTGACCAGATATAAATAGTGCTGATTTCACAGGTTAATTATAATGGGTGTTGCCTGGACGGGCGTGGCTCAGCAGTTGAGCGTCAACCTAGGATCCAGGCGATCGGGGTTCGATTCTCGGTCAAGGCACATGCCCGGTTGCGGGCTTGATCAATGACTCTCTCATCATTGATGTTTCTATCTCTCTCTCTCCCTCTCCTTTCCTCTCTCTGAAATCAATAAAGATATATTAAAAAAAAAAAATTATAATGGGTGTTAAGTGTTTGGTACTAAATTATGTTGTTTCAAGGTCATTAAAATTAAATCTAAAAGCCAGTTTCTGATGAAATATCCATTTATTTTATACTGTTCTCAGTATAACTGGCATATATAACTCTATAGTTCCTAATTTGACCAATAAATCAATTTGCTACTTATAAACTGAGGAATTATATCCTGAGAACCCCATCAGGAACTGGGGAATTAAAAATGATGTAAAATAATGGCCTTTGTCCTCAGTAGACTTCATAGTCTAATATGCATGTTTTTGCTTAAAGATGTATTTGATCTGGCTCTTTTTCCTCAAAAGAATCAAACTTATTTTAAGTATAGGTGCAGGTAACTTTATATGATGGATAAATGGCAAGTTGTCTATAAAGGAAATTTTATGCCTTTTCACCTTAAAAGATGTATTTACATTATAACTTCATAGTGATTCTCACAAGAAAACTTTTTGGTTTTTTGGTGCATTCAGAAATTACTGGAATTTGTCAAATGTATAAATCAGCCCATTTTTAAAAAACTAAACGAAAATGTTTCAATATATCACTTTTCCCGTGGGTCAAGATACAAGAGTGATTTAGAATGAAGGGCCTCTTCTACCTCTAGCTCCTAGCTCCCCCTCCTGGAAGCAGGCACCACCCCCAGTTTACTGCATACTTTTGAAAACAACTCTGTGCCTAAACATGTGTGCATGGGCTCTTTTACACAAATGATAACAAACTATACCTAGACCTTGTCCCA